GCGTCCTATAATTAATGTTACGAAATAGCAGCCCATATATTTCCGTACAATTTGTGCTCGACAAATAAATATGAAATTTGAGCGAAATATTCTAATTATACTGACGGCGCGTAATTTACAACGTGCAGTAATCAATTGCTAACATCACGGTGCTCAATAGTCGATGCTTTTACAGATTTATGATGTCTCGAGCAACTTGGAAGGTTTATAAAAAAGGGTCCATAAAAGTCGTGTTCTTCTCGGTACTGAGGCAGACGTGTGTGCCTGGCGAGCACTAGTTCAATTTACTTTATGACTCCATGAATCTGCACCCGTCGGAATACTGATGAGTAGATATCCACGGACAGTGACAAAAATGACAGTAGTGACACGGCGCAGGTAGAGTTTTGCCTCAAACTTTTCGAAATGCAAAACTTTTATTATACGAGAAAATGCATTTGGTTCGTCTCTGGGCCGCCGGCAGGCTTTGCTGGGCACAATGCACGTGTGCACCGGTGCAACGTGAGCGAGTTGGACAACGAGGTCTTCATGCGTTGCATGTAATACTACACCCAACACCAGTGCTAGCGGGAGGTGAGATTTTCGTCTCGGTAGGGTTTCGCGTTCCTACCCTTTTTATATATGTATTTCATACATACACGCGTGTGTTTTGTTTGTTGTTTAATTTTCAGCATCCGTGCCGCCGATTGGCAACCTATGCTCGAGGTTAAAAACTCGTTTACGAGCTATTCTCTTTTATTTCTCCTATGTAAATCAGCCCAACTCGCGGCGTGCCCAAGTCGTTTTGTGTTGTTGTGGTTTTAAAATATACGACGTGTTGGTGTTTCTTATTATAACACGTTTCGTGTGATTGGCGTGTTACGATTAAAATGCACGCTGTGATTTTCGAAATTGTTCCTCCCTTAATTGAATTAAACACAAGCCGTAATCGTTTGACGATGCGTGTAGTAAACGTTTCTCGAAAACATTACGATTATATTTTTATGGCGGATAAAAAGCGCGACGCATTTTTATTGCATTCGGAAATGGCTTTTCTACCAATTTAGCTCTTTACCTCACGATATTTCCGTTTCTGTTTCGTAAATAACTACCAACTACATAAATACTAGTGTGGAAGCAGTAATTTTTAAAAATTTCATGTTGACATTCCTCTTCTTATTCGCGGTCTACCCATTGTAAATATTTAAACAAATGCGTGGTAACAAAGTGCGAAGTGGCTAACATGTCACACATGTCAAACACGCGAGCATTAAGTTTAATTAAACAATTATAGCGCTCACGGCGTCGTCTTGTCAACACACACACCGCACACATGCATGACTAGCAGGCAAATACGTTTATGCAAACATCGCGCCACTTCCCATCGTCTCCGGAGGTGTTTAACTGCTTGTTAGCTCTGCTCTTTAGCACCCGATGCGTGCCGGCATAAAAATATTAGTTAATTATTACCCGATTGTCGATTGTTATTACTGCACTTGAAAACGCCGTGGCGTGCATCGTGCATGCGTGTGTGGCATCCGGCCGGCTAACAAGAGGAGAGGACCGAAGAGGACCTTGACTTGGAAGTCTTGAACAATGCACAGAGCCGGCGGCAACGAGAAAACGTTCTGTTTGCACAAGAACGTAAAGGAGGTAACGTTTCAAATACCTGGTTGGATGGAAGACGCTCCGGCGTGTTCAAGCGTTCCGTTTCATTCTCGTGAAGAGTTGAGGATGTGAAGTTAGTTGTGAAGGCGATGCTGGAGAAGGAAAATAGAAAAGCAAAGAAACAACTCGTGTTTATATAAAAACTTTTTTTTATTCTGTTTGTACAACACCTTGGACTCGGGTTCAATTAAGATATTGAATTTGATAAGTACGTCGACCCATCCACTCCTTCGCCTGCAACCGGTAACTGGTTTCTGAATGTGTTGCAATTCAATGCGTCCGCGTGTAAACTCGACAATATATTTTAATTTTGAACGCTTAAAATAAGTAGATGAAACTCGGACGTTTGAGTGTTCGTACTTGCTTACATCCATGTCTCACTATCGACTCGAAGCAAATGCCATTAAACGTGACTCCAGTATTTTCCATTTGCTTGCTGTTGTTCTGCTTGTTGTGTTGTTTGTTGGTTGGCATGCAGCTCTTGCATATTCAAGCCTACACCTATGCATCGCCGAGCAGAAAACTTACGACGGCGACATCGACATGGACTGCAGTAAAGAACAACAACAAGACCGTTGGAAAACTGTTCGAGTATGCAAAGACAGTCGCGCGACTGGAGTCGTGTCGGACGCCAGCCAGCCAGACATGCATTATGCTTATTATTTACGACAATGTAAATGAAGTTCGCGCCGGTGTGACATCTTTTAGACCAACCGCGGCGTAATCCAAATTGTAAGCATCGTATCTCAACGAGAACCACGCCTACTCACTTGACAAATAACGGAAGCGTTAAAAAAACATACGCAAAATTATGTTATTATCAAAAAACACAGTAGTTACCTGAAGGTAAACCTGGGTAAGATTATCGTAATTAAACGCGGTGTTGCTCGCGTGGTTTGCTCGCCGGTGCTCGGTTTTAATGAGCTGGAGATTTACCGACTCTTGTATGGTGCGGCACATCGCATTAATGCGACATCGCACAACCGCAACGCAAAATAAAAACAACACGACGTGGACGGTGTGGGATCCGCGCATCTTGATTATTTTAATTGACAGGGTTGTTAAAGCCTGGTTAAGAGTTTTTATCGTCGTTCGAAAGACACGAAACACTTCTAGATGCATCTCGGGATGAATGCGTTCGCGTGCAAAACTTCGAACGCAGACGATCACTAATCGAAACGTTAATTAAGAATAACTTTCTCTTCTGGTGGAGTTTCTTGGAGTTTTTAATTAGCATAAAATGCAAATTCGATTTTATGGCGACATTTACTTTCGATCGATTTAGTCCAAAATTTGCAACAACGAAAACATTTATTATATATCCAGCGACCAGGAAAAGATTAATTGCATGATAAGCACGATAATAAATTACACATGAAATTAAATTAGAAATGCTGACCAAGGCCGCTGCTTGGCGCTGCTTAAATTATTTTTTCTGGCGAGCGTACGGCATTACTTTTCACGGCTCGTCTTTTATTTGCAAACACGGCGCGCAACAATACGCGTTGCTCGTTTGGCCCTTGTCGAGAAGACATGCCTGTAGAGGCTCACAGGAAAACTGGTTTGCAAGCTGATTTGGTTAAGCATATTTCCACCTTCGTCGTGGTGCGCGCGCGTGTTGGTGCATTAAGTATACAGTATTTTATTTTAAAACCAACAGTGGGCACGGACAACCGACTGACCAACAAGACAACAAAAAGATAACCACCGACGGGCCCGGCTGCCGTCTGCCTGCACGCTTCTTGTGCACGCATCTTATATATGCATACGCTGTTTGCGATGCAGCGGCAGCAATGTCTACGAAGAGAAGAAGCAGAGGCAACGATTGCGTGGTCACGACTGCACGAAGATTCATCTGTCGTCGACTCGTTAACTACAAACGAGCGTGTTTGCGATCTAAAAGTGTTTCTTGCGCGTTTATATAAATCCTTGCAGTCTAGCGCTGCTCTTCTCTGGGCAGTAAGTAGTGACGTGACGGTTAGTTGTTTTATTTCTCAAAGCGATATCAATTTGTTGCAATTGCTCCTAGTGGATGGCAGTCGCCTAAATGCGTGCTAATATTTAATGGGTCGCGTTTCGAGCGCGTTAAGGAACGGAAGCTGCGCGCAATGATGAACGACGTTTGTCGCATAATGTTTTTCCAGCGCGACGACACACATTCGACCCGGTTGCTATTACGTCAATTTGCGCGCGACACGAATTACGCTACGACGACGACGACGACGACGACGACGCCAGGAGTGCTCTCTCAGCGCGCATAAAATGATAATTGTTGTGAAGGGTAATCCGCGCCCACGCGTCTGCACGCACTCGAACTTACTCTCTCAATGCATGGGAATTACGCGTCGCAATTCCACTTGAGCGTATGCTCGATTTCGCACAAGTCGAGCACGAATCCACTATTTTCACACTATCGACCCTTCTTCCGGGGCCTTACGTCTGCGGGGTGCTTGCTAATTGCAGTCGGTGAGCACAAGGCACGTATTCGGTGCGCTGCACTTTGATCTATCCCGAGGATGGCCGAAGGCGGCCGCCGTCAATTAAGGGTGAATTTATTCCTGCAATCTATTACTCACCCCGCACATATTGAGTCGCAGGCGCATTAGAGCGTCGCGACGTCGAAAATGGGGAAGGAACGGAAAAAGGGCGGCGGCTCGCTCAACGAAACATTGTTACGTGCGTACATTTGAACCTCTATGATGGTTGGTGAAGGAAAGGACGACTAGTGAGAGTTGATGATGACTATGCCAAATCAATTTTCGATGTGCGCGCGTATTTCCATTTTGGGTGTGCCCGCTGCTTGCTCCGAGGATTCCAATAATGTCATACCTCTCTGATTCCATAACGTCGAGCCGCATACAGGATGTAAATATTTATAGGGTAAAAATCAGAGGGGATTTTCAATTCGGAAGAGCAACTTGCGCGCGTGTTCTATTTTCATGTGAAAATACAAAATACGCATTTTATGGGCGCAACGATTTAATGATTCAATTAACACTCGCCTGTTTGTTTATCGCCAGCGAATACTTCCTCAGCTGTTTTAATGCGGTCATTAAATGTGTGGTCCCAAAAACTCAGGGAAGGTATGCGCAATATTGCTCGTGCGTCGTTTTCATAATGCTAATGACATCTTTCGCGTGCTCGTCGCGTTAATTTATGCCAGTGCGCATTCCACTGACCAAAATGAATATTAAGCTGCCAGCAGGCGATGATTATGAAGTTTAAACGGGCTATTATTTATTACGCGCCTGGTTGTAATGAAGATTGACTCGTTCAATTGAATTCAATAGCGATATGCTAAATGTGCGTCCAAACGATTTCCTAATATTAATCTGTTTATTCTATTTTTCCAGGGTGCCATGTGTCACCGCCATGTCTGGATGTTGGATTGACTGACTGTTGTTGCTTTAATGCCTTCCACAACCGGGATGCCAGCCACGCCAGCCAGTGCAGTGCGATGCCGTCGGTCGTAACAGTTTCGTACAGTCGGGACCAGTGCGTGTGATTTCTTCCTAAACGACGTTTCGATTAGGTGTGTGCACGCACACGCATCGCGCGCAGATATTTAACGTACGCGCAATACAAACATTTCGCTAAAAATAGATGCGGCGTTGAAGCATTAACGTATACGCGCGCGTCTCGATTCTCTGCAGCCGCGTGAGCAAACGTAAATATATATACGGTGAAGATGAGGTGCGTTAACGCAATTACGATGCTCGCCTTCTTGCTGATGATGAGTGCGGTGGCACCCAGCGCGTCGGTGATTGCATCGCATGCGGACACCAAGGATCAGGAGGGACAGTGCGAGCAGATTACGATACCGATGTGCCGCGAGATCGGTTACAATATGACGCGAATGCCCAACGAGTTGAATCATTACAATCAGGAGGAAGCCGGACTGGAAGTGCATCAGTTCTGGCCGCTGGTGCAGATCAACTGCTCGCCGGAACTGCAGTTCTTCCTCTGCTCTATGTACGTGCCCATCTGTCTACCGGATTATCAGAAGCCGCTGCCACCGTGCCGCGACCTGTGCGCTCGGGCGCGATTAGGGTGCGAACCAATCATGCAGCAGTACGGTTTCCAGTGGCCGGACCGCATGGACTGCAATCGTTTTCCGGTCCAGGGCGCATCAACGGACAGTCTGTGCATGGACCAGAACAAACCAGAATCTCCACCGCCACCTCCAGCGAAGCCTCCAACAGCCAAGCCGCCAAAGAGCAACAAAAAGTGCAAAGATCCAAAAAACTGCGCGGATCCCCTGGGCGGGGGAAAGCGCGGAAAAGATTGCACGTGCAGCTGTCAGAAGGGGCTGGTGCCGGTGACGAACCAAAGCGTGTCCGTGGCCGGCGTCGCAAACTGTGCGTTCCCGTGCAAGGAGACGTACTTCACTCCCGACGAAAAGGAGTTCGCCGCCGTGTGGATCACGCTCTGGTCGGGCCTGTGCGCCGCCTCGACCTTAATGACACTAACCACCTTCCTAATCGAGACTGAGCGTTTCAAGTACCCGGAGAGACCAATTGTCTTTCTATCCGGGTGCTACTTCCTGGTATCCGTTGGCTACCTAGTGAGGGTCTTTTTGGGGCACGAAGAAGTTGCTTGCAATGGCCCCATCATCAAATACTCATCGACCGGTACGAATCCATGTTTCTTCGTATTTTTCCTTATTTACTTCTTTGGAATGGCCTCGTCTATTTGGTGGGTCATACTGGCGTTTACATGGTTCCTAGCCGCTGGTCTTAAATGGGGCAATGAAGCGATTGCTAGCTACTCTATTTACTTCCACCTCGCCGCTTTGCTCGTCCCATTTGTGCAAACTGTAGGCGTTTTATCATCGGGGGCCGTGGATGGTGACCCCGTTTCGGGAATATGCTACGTTGGCAATATGAATATGGATAACTTATGGACGTTTGTGTTAGCTCCACTGGTAGTCTACTTGTTAGTGGGCACGAGTTTCTTGTTTGCCGGATTCGTTTCACTATTCCGTATTCGATCGGTGATCAAGAAACAGGGCGGAGCTGGTGCTGGATCGAAAGCCGAGAAGCTCGAAAAGCTCATGATTCGCATAGGAATCTTTAGTGTACTCTACACGGTGCCAGCGACTATCGTCATCGCTTGTCATCTCTACGAGAACACTTACCACAACGAATGGCTGTCGTCGATGGCGTGCTCGTGCCCCAGCAGCCCCGGCAGTTCCATGACGAACAAGCGCTCCAAAGTCATCCCATTGTACTCAGTTCTAATGCTCAAATACTTCATGGCACTAGCTGTCGGCATCACGTCCGGCGTATGGATTTGGTCCGGAAAGACACTCGACTCGTTTAGGAGATTATGGCGGCGACTCGTCGGGCGGCCTGATCCGACCGGGGCAGGCGCGGTGTTGATCAAATCGCGACCAGGCAAGGCACCTCCGCAATACCTAGTGGCAGGACCTGGCAGTGCGTCACTCTTGGGACCCGCTGGAAGCGTCGCGTCCGCCAGCCAGCACCATTTGCACCACCATGTTCTCAAACAGCCGCCGCTAAGTCACGTATGACAGGCGGGCGAGGGGGCCGCACCTGTTGTTGTTAGTCATCAGGGTCCCGGTTCCGGGCCTTCCTTGAGCAACTACGGGCCCATTTGAGTGACCGCCTGGGCCCCTCGTCATTTGGTCACCGCTCTCTAGTCTCGTTATATTTAACACGTCTAAACGGTTTTAATTGGATAGTGCCAGTGATGCGATGGGACATTCGTTCGGACGAAAGGACTGTTTGTAATAATATATAACTTATTTATTTTTTAACCGGCAAACATTGTGTTTGAGCGTTCTATCATTGTGATTATTTGAGAGCATTTATATTAGATCAGTTTCCTTTTAATTGCATATACACCAGGATGTAACATTCACTGTGCCATAGCAAAGCGAAAACTATGATTATTTGCGGCTCTTATTATTTTCATTGTACAATTTTTGATGTTGACTTTTATTACGTGGTTCATACAAGAGCAGAATCGGCCTCGAACTCGATTTCGTCTAATTGAATAGTAACTATATTATTGACGAGTGTATGCCAAAACACGAACTTGACTAGACCAAATCCAAACGCAAAACAATAAAAGAAGCACACATGCGTTTACTACAGTGTTTCGATGCGAACAAGTTGCTAACAACAAACCGAAACGATGTGAGATTTTATATACGTAATTAATAATTGGAATCAATAACTATTGATTAATAAATAATAGAGAATTAGGAATAATCTTATATAAAAAAGAGATGTGATTTAGATACTATTACGATGTAATAATGAAACTACAAAAAACCAAACAAAATATTCAAGTGACGAAGCAAAACTGTAATCAAACTAATTAATGTAACGTATGAAAGGTCATTATTGGTTCGGAGGGTTCCCGAGAAATGCAGCCATACAAATGCGTGCCATTTTAATTAAACGTTGAGTTCACTTGCGAGTAAAACTGAGATAGGGACCATATTTTCAAAATTCCAACATTTGCTGACAAAACGAAAACAAAATACGAAAGGGAATGCTGAATTCTATATTGGACTCAAACCGATGTGTACATATTATTTCGTAGAAGTCAAGAGTTGCTTTCATAGTTAACGAGTTGAATCGATTTTTGTACTTATCAACAAGAAAAGTGTCTATTTAATCATTTATACACCTGTATATAGTTCAACATGAATAATAGCATAACAATTCTTGTAATACGACGCTATGGAATATTGTAAGCCACGTTTTATAATAATATTTCCGTAATATTCATAATCATAGTCAAAAAGAAAATGTCTGCCTGTTGTTACAGATATCGTTTACGCGCGGTGCCATCTTTAAAAGGCGTGCGCTGAATTTAGCAGTTACGACATATCAATGATCAGTTTATTTCGCAATAATTGTGTATAACGAATCTTAACGATCTGTTGCCTACCTTAGTTGTTCTTTTTTTACCTACCATTGTAATGTTTATGTATCATGCACAAAAATGGGCGCAGAAAATGCAGCGCTAAGCGGAGATTGTTCTTTTGTATAAATGGATTTACGTTTTTTGTGGATCGTCAAACTAAAGAGAAAAAAAAAAAACAAAACAGGAATATTTATCTCCCGTCTGTACAGGTTTTTTAAAAGTAAGGAAACTTATTTCTTTGTAAAGTTGTGAGTGTATAAAATAGAATATACGGACATAATTAAATATATAGCTATTGTATTTGTCTCTGATATGTATGCTTCAACAATGTATACGAATTTTTAATTATATTTTATTGTTTAAATTATAGCAAAAAATCGAATGCTTTTCTTGTTCTCGTTTTGCTTCACACATAAGCACCTGCCTTTCCGTGCATGTTCTCTTGTTTAAATTGCTTTTTCCTTTTGCACACATTGCAAAACATTTCCAGCTAGGTCATAAAGACGAAAGGTAAGTGAATATTTTTATTTTGAATTGGAAACAATGTTAATTTTATTCGAATGCAGTGACTACGTGGAACACAATTGTATCGAATTTGATCGGTGCTGTGTTAATGTGCGCGTATTAAAATAGGAATCGAGCCAACATGGAAATCATAAATTTATAGCAGTTATTCCACGTAATAATCGTAAAATATTAATATGCAGTCAGACTCACACGTGCATACAGTCTCAGTTTTGTATTTCGAATGCAGGTAATGTTAGCTTTGGCTTGTCGCTCGTTTCGAACTTTGAATCGCTACAGAATGGCGCAATTGTCTTGGCATGCTTCTTGCATTTCAGGACCCTGTGCATGCCCGACGCGATGCAAGAACGACGGCGAATCCGGTGTACTGCGTCCGTCTATGTAAATTTTACGTGACTTTAAGGCAGGAATGAGGTCTAGTTTCAAACAATAAACATCATTTTTGCCGTGCAATAAAAACGCACTCAACATGCGACAACGACTTCTAAGTTCTTGCGGTTCTCATGTATTTATAGTCTTTCGAAAATGCAATCACGAACATGACTCCCGTCTCCAACTCCCATGCAAATTTTCACGATCTATTCGTTTCAATAAATAAAAACGGTGCCGTGTTATTGAAACCTTTGCAGGTGTAACGAAATTGTGAAAATTACAAAATTATACTCTCGGAGGTGTTGACTCTATTAGAATTTTTTGCACTGTGGCAGTGTCACGGAACAATGAATACGTTATAGATAGGGCTGGGTTGGCTGGGTGCTAGAGCGAAACGACTGGGGTGTTTGGAAACCACCCGGTTAATTGTGTGAGTGTGTCTCTGATGAACGCCCGGACAGGTTGTAATTACGTGCCTCGGATGATTGATGAGCCTTCATTTCTAACACGGTTTCATTTGCATGTGACTTTTTGATCGTCGAAATTTTCATTGCAGCGTGGCGTGGATCAATACCGTAAATTTGATGTGCCGACAGAAAATGTAACGTTGTGCGCTATTGAAATCTCTTGTAATCAAAGCGCAGATAACAAAATCGCGGCTTTTCAAATTTACGGACGCGCGGCGCGCTTGTAAAGCGATATAAATAGGTCAAAACGTGCGAGGCAATTAATCTATGTCACTTCAGACGAAGGGAGGATGGCTGGCAATGGCACTGAACCAGAGTTGATGCTTCGTCACTTGAAACCGAGCCTGCCGATGCAAAACAGATCATCCGGCCAGGAGGAGCCCGAGGTCTCCTCATAGCACATTTGCTTATTCGCATTTTGGTACGCCGTTGTCGTATGGTGTGGATATTGTCGAAGGGCGATCCGCCAACGTGCTGTAAGCTAACAGATAATGTTTCCAGGAGAGTGGAGCCTTTCAATCACTACACCTCATAGCCGTTTCATCACTCCTTTCACCCTCGCTATCCCTTAATGTATACGACGATAACATATGTTGCAGCTGCAGTGAAGCTTTCTCTATGAAATATACAAAAGGGTTGGCCCAATCATCACTATAATACTTTATTTTGCAAAATTTTATGTGTCTTTAGTTTTATTTTTATATAAATATATTTGTTGAAATACAATGGTAGGTAGTACGAGTATATTTGTGTATTTTAAATCTTATCATTAAAAGTTGCCATTGTTCTCGTACTAAGGCAGCATATTATAAATTACATCAATTTAATATTTAGTTTTTATTATTGTCACGTAATCTTCAGTATATATAACATGTTTAATTTCGAAAATTTAAATAAGTTAATAATATGAATCCCTGAGTTTAGACATTCATTGTAGGCAACATAATTTGCGTCTGGGCGTACTAAACATGTAGCTATACGTAAAATATTTATATTATATTAATTTGAGAGTTCCTCTCTACTTTTTAAAATTTGGGCTACATGGGTGAATTGGTTTTAAGTTGGAAGATTTCAAACTTCCGATTTTCATCAGTAATTTTTAAAGTAATTTATTATATATTTAGTTTGATTTACAAATTGATTTTGATTTTGTATGTGAATATAGTAAATTTGAGTTGTGATTTATCGCTGACGTGCTTATCAATGTTTGGGTATAAACAAATTCGATGTCAACTTACTCACAGGTGACCTTCCCCCGTGCATTACTGCACTGCGAGGTAGTGTCGTACATGTATGGGATGTGTTTAAGCAGCGCGCTATAGATTCTACAGACAGTCGAGCCAGGTCCGTTTTTGAGGTCGGGTAGTTCGGATGTTTTCCCACGTTTGCAATAATATAATTCGTTAAATTGCTGTGAGTTTAATCAAATTAGACCATTAGAGTGTTAACTGCACGCGACCCTGGTGCGTTATAGTTTCATTTTGCTCAACGACTAAACGCAATTCGAAAACATGTTTATTCACAAATACTAATAAACACACGAAGCCATGAAAGATTGAATAAATAAAAATATTATGTGCGAGGTGATATGAACAGAAGACCACTACATTTTAGAAGAAACTCGATCGAATTCCAGGCGACAAACACCCAAAATTTACAAACATCGATGAAACGGGATATTGAACCCACGAATTGAATTATTTAATTGTATCTGCTTTAACAGTGTGTTACCTGGGCCAGTGTGTTTGGCCCAGGTAATTGTTGCAACAGAAAATATATCAATTAAAATATTTCGCACAATGCTAATCTTTAATAGGAATGTTTTGTCTCGAGCCAATAGAATTTGAGGAGTTTTGCACATAAATCCGACATCGTAACGGAACCAGGCCTACATCAGATTGCAAGTATTAAATTTCTTAATCTTTTGCATAAATAACTTCAGTGATTAACTCATTAATTAGCCACAAAAAATGCATTTTGGTGTTTCGATGGACTTATTTTTGTTTGTTTTAAAAGTTCTGCACCTTAATCTGACGTCCTAGGAGAACCATTTTTGCACCAGATTGTAAGTATTGAATTTCTTTATCATTTTCATCAATCACTTTAGTGATTAGCTCATTAATTAGCCACAAAATTTGCATTTTTGTGTTTCAAAAGACTAATTTTTGCTTGTTTTATGGGTTCTGCGCCTTAAAACGACGTCCTATGAGAACTATACCTATATCAGACTGTAAGTATTGAATTTCTTTATCATTTTCATCAATCACTTTAGTGATTAGCTCATTAATTAGCCACAAAATTTGCATTTTTGTGTTTCAAAAGACTAATTTTTGCTTGTTTTATGGGTTCTGCACCTAAACCCGACGTCCTAAGGGAAGCATTCTTGCATCAAATTGTATGTATTTTATTTTTTTATCATTTTCATAAATCGCTTTAGTGATTAGCTTATTAATTAGCAACAAAAATTGCATTTTTGTGTTTCAATTGACTAATTTTAGCTTGTTTTAAGGGTTCTGCACCTTACCCCAACGTCCTAGGAGAACCATTATTGCATCAGATTGTAAATATTTAAATTTTTTATCATTTTCCTAATCAACTTTTCTGATTATCTCACAAATTGACCCCCAAAATTGCATTTTTATGTCCGAAAAACTAATTTTTGGTGGTTTTAGGGATTTTGCACCTGTGTCTGACATCGTAGATGGACCTTTCTTGCATAAGATTGTAAGTATTAAATTTGTTTATCATTTTCTTAAATAACTTTTGTGATTATCTCACAAATTGACCTCCAAAATTGCATTTTTATGTCCGAAAAACTAATTTTTGGTGGTTTTAGGGATTTTGCACCTGAGTCTGATATCGTAGAAGGATCATTCTTGCATCAGACTGTAAGTAATTAATTTCTTTATCATTTTCCTAAATAACTTTTGTGATTATCTCACAAATTGACCCCCAAAATTGCATTTTTCTGTTTGAAGGACTAATTTTTGCTTGTTTTAGGGATTTTGCACTAGAGTCTGACATCGTAGAAGGACCATTCTTGCATCAGATTGTAAGTAGTTAATTTCTTTATAATTTTCCTAAATAAATTTTGTGATTATCTCACAAATTGACCCCCAAAATTGCATTTTTCTGTTTGAAGGACTAATTTTTGCTTGTTTTAGAGATTTTTCACCTGAGTCTGACATCGTAGAAGGACCATTCTTGCATCAGATTGTAAGTAATTAATTTTTCTATCATATTCCTAAATAACTTTTGTGATTATGTCACAAATTGACCCCCAAAATTGCATTTTTATGTTCAAATGACTAATTTTTGATGGTTATAGGGATTTTGCACCTGAGTCTGACATCGTAGAAGGACCATTCTTGCATCAGATTGTAAGTAATTAATTTCTCTATCATATTCCTAAATAACTTTTGTGATTATTTCACAAATTGACCCCCAAAATTGCATTTTTATGTTCAAATGACTAATTTTTGATGGTTTTAGGGATTTTGCACCTGAGTCTGACATCGTAGAAGGACCATTCTTGCATCAGATTGTAAGTAATTAATTTTTCTATCATATTCCTAAATAACTTTTGTGATTATGTCACAAATTGACCCCCAAAATTGCATTTTTATGTTCAAATGACTAATTTTTGATGGTTTTAGGGATGTTGCACCTGAGTATGACATCGTAGAAGGACCATTCTTGCATCAGATTGTAAGTAATTAATTTCTCTATTATATTCCTAAATAACTTTTGTGATTATGTCACAAATTGACCCCGAAAATTGCATTTTTATGTTCAAATGACTAATTTTTGATGGTTTTAGGGATTTTGCACCTGAGTCTGACATCGTAGAAGGACCATTCTTGCATCAGATTGTAAGTAATTAATTTCTCTATTATATTCCTAAATAACTTTTGTGATTATGTCACAAATTGACCCCGAAAATTGCATTTTTATGTTCAAATGACTAATTTTTTATGCTTTTAGGGATTTTGCACCTGAGTCTGACATCGTAGAAGGACCATTCTTGCATCAGATTGTAAGTAATTAATTTCTCTATCATATTCCTTAATAACTTTTGTGATTATGTCACAAATTGACCCCGAAAATTGCATTTTTATGTTCAAATAACTAATTTTTATGCTTTTAGGGATTTTGCACCTGAGTCTGACATCGTAGAAGGACCATTCTTGCATCAGATTGTAAGTAATTAATTTCTCTATCATATTCCTAAATAACTTTTGTGATTATGTCACAAATTGACCTCGAAAATTGCATTTTTATGTTCAAATGACTAATTTTTTATGGTTTTAGGGATTTTGCACCTGAGTCTGACATCGTAGAAGGACCATTCTTGCATCAGATTGTAAGTAATTAATTTCTCTATCATATTCCTAAATAACTCTAGTAATTATCTCACAAATTAACCCTTAAAATTGCATTTTTATGTTCGAAAGACTAATTTTTGCTCGTTTTAGGGATTTTGCACCTGAGTCTGACATCGTAGAAGGACCATTCTTGCATCAGATTGTTATTATTAAATTTCATTATCTTAAATAACTTTTTTGATTATTACACAAATTGACTCCCAAAATGTATGTTTGTGTGTTTTCTTTAATAAAGAATGTTTTTAAGTTTTTCTAATTAAAATTATTTCTGTTATTTCTACCCGACCACATATTTAACGATCCCTTAAAACATTTATTTTGAAAAGTGCATGCTAGTGCCATCTATCAATTAGAAACTACAACAACCGAAAATTTTGAGCTTCGGTCCGTCGCCACTGGAGGCAGCACATTACTAGTTACCGCAAAAACTTTATCAGCCTCCTCAACTTTCTGCGCTCCTAATATTCAATCTTTATTTTGTCGACTCTGGGAGGCAAAATGACACAAAATTTGGACTCGAAACAGTCGAAACTCAGGTTTTGGTATTCGGATCGCAGAAAGTGTAAGGAGGCTGATATAGTTTTCGCGGTAACTAATGACGGGTAAAAATAATGTTTAAAAATCTGTTTTCAGCAAGTGCAGCTTCTGTATAGGTGGAATTTTTAAATTCTGTTTTCGGATTCTGTAAGCTAAAATTCTATATCGACTATTTATGTAATTATTTTCTTAACATTGACTGTTTAGGCTGTATTGGCAGTTTTAATTAAAAAATTGGATTTTACATGCCAATCGGTCCTTAATCTATAAGTGTGTTACTAGTTTCCGATTCTGAATTTAATCTACTTTCAGAATCCGAAAGCAGAATTTAAAAATTTTAATTATTACAGAACCTGCATTTGCTGAAAAAAGATTTCGTCATAAAAGGCAAAACATTTTTCTTTTTTATGTCGAATGTTGTTTTCATTAAAATTGCAAATAGGGCCTAAACGGTTAGCATAAACTAAAAAAGTTACTAAAATAATCGATGTAGAATTAAATTATCAATCATAATCCGAAAACAGAATTTAAAAATTCCAACTTTTAATTTTCAACATAAAAAAGAGAAATCTTTTGCCTTTTTTATAACAAAATCATTTCTTTAAAAATTTTTTGTGCCATTTTTGTGGTTTTTCAATAATGATGCCATCTTATCCAGAATTCTTCAAGGATCAAGAATATGTAATTATTTTTATTCTAGCCCTTTTAGTTGTCGAGATAATTAACATTTAATCATCATAAATTAGGCTATCTCGACAACCAAAAGGGCTAGAATAAAAAGAACTACATATTCTTGATCCTTGAGGAATTCTAGACAAGATGGCATATTTTTCTCAAAATGAAGAAATGGGCACAAAAAATTTTTAAAGAAAAGATTTTGTTATAAAAAAGGCAAAAGATTTCTCTTTTTTATGTAGAAAATTAAAAGTTGGAATTTTGAAATTCTGTTTGAGGCTGCTGATACATAATTTAATTCTACATCGATTATTTTTGTAAAGTTTTTTGCTATCATTAACCGTTTAGGCCCTATTTGCAATTATAATAAAACACGTGTATCCCGTCGGAATAGTCTAATTTATGAAGATTAAATGGTAATTATCTCGACAACTAGAAGGGCTAGAAAAAAAAGAACTACATATTCTTGATCCTTGAAGAATTCTGGACAAGATGGCATCCTTATTGAAAAACAACAAAAAATGGCACAAAAAATTTTGTCGAGAAATTCCAGTGAAATGATACACAAAAATCTTTTGAATATTAGGATCGCAGAAAGTGCAGTAGGCTGCTGAATCTCCAGCAATCTTGAATAGCGGCGTAGTTTAGTTACTCGTGGATAGATGACACTAGTGATACCGTTTTTGAATTAATATTGATACAATATAAAATTAATTTTGAACTATTTTCCATATTTAGCAGTGGCATTTCCAATAAAGTTTAAGGGATTTATGGATTAAATAAAGGAGTAACGATGTTGCGCGCTAAGTTCTCCGTTTGGAACAAATAAAACGATAAAAATTTATAGTCAAAAATATAAAACTACCTTTTTATTCAAACATGTAGAATATACACAATCACAAACTCAATTTCTTAATGTATACAGCATTTTCAACAATACAAGCAAGAAAACAAGATAATAATATGCAATTATATAATTCTTTTTTTATAACTTTTAACAAAATAAACAAAAATGATAACAATAACAGCTTCAAGATGTTGTAAATTCATTCAATCGTGTTTGGAATCATCATCAACACCGGCAATCCAATCTTCAATTTCTTGTACACTATAAACCAGAATGAATAACAGAATAGTAAAATATAAAATATTATAAATTGCCAAAATATAACATACGTTCTTGGAACTTAAGTCCAGTTGACACATCCATCTTCAGTAATTAAAACATAATCCTCAATACGGACTCCTCCACCAGTACCACGGAACCTCTCCAGTTGGTCCCTATTGATTAACTTGACCATCTCAGGATTAGCCAATGATTCATCCAACAACTGGAAAATATTTATGTAAATGAAGTATACATATACATAAATTAAATTAATTATTCTTACAGGATCCATAAAAATTTCCATTTAGGGCACCGTGCGAAGGTAGCGGTAGAAGTGACTCCCATTCAAGGCACCGTACAATTTAGTGCAAGAACGGCAGCCCCACGACATAGCGTTCGCCGGCTAAAACAAAAAAACCACAAAATTAGAAGACCAAAAAAAAAGCATTTTTGTAGGCTTCCCGAGGGCTAAGCCCACAATTTATATAATTTATATTATAAAGAATTTAAATATCTATTATTTGCTAAAAGAACGGTTGTCCTACGACATGGCGTTCGCCCGCTAAACACTAAAAACCAAAAAATTCGACGACCAAAAAACACAAATAGGGCATTTTTTGTAGGTTTCCCGAGGGATAAACCCACAAATTATGTATGAGAATTATAAATAATTTAAATATCTATAATTTGGTGAAAGAATGGTTGTCCTATGACATGGCGTTCGCCCGCTAAACACTAAAAACCACAAAATTAGACAACCGAAAAAGACAAAAAGAGCATTTTTGTAGGTTTCCCCAGGGATAAACCCACATATTATACATGAAAATTAAAAAGAATTTAAGTATCTATAATTTAGTGAGAGAACGGTTGTCCCACGACATGGCGTTCCAGAGCTAAATACTAAAAATCACAAAATTAGCCGATCAAAAAACATAAAAAGCGCATTTTTATAAGTTTTCCTTTGGATAAACCCACATATTATACATGGAAATTATAAAGAATTTGAATGTCTATAATTTGGCGAAAGATCAGTTATCCTACGATATGGCGTTCGCCCGCTAAACACTAAAAACCACAAAATTAGTCGTCCGAAAAACACAAAAGGGGCATTTTTGTAGGTTTCCCAAGAGTTAAACCCACAAATTATATATGAAAATTATAAAGAATTTGAATATCTATAATTTGGTGAAGAAACGGTTATCCTACGACATGGCGTTCGCCCGCTAAATACTGAAAGCCACAAAATTAGCCGACCGAAAGACACAAAAATGGCATTTTCATAGGTTTCTCGAGGGATAAACCCACAAATTATACATGAAAATTATAAAGAATTTGAATGTCTATAATTTGGTGAAAAACGGTGATCCTACGACATGGCGTACATCAGCTAAATACTAAAAACAACAAAATTAGCCAACCGAAAAACACAAAAGGGCATTTCTGAAAGTTTCCCGAGGATAAACTCACAAATTATACATGAAAATTATAAAGAATTTGAATATCTATAATTTGGTAAAGAAACGGTTATCCTACGACATGGCGTTCGCCCGCTAAACACTGAAAGCCACAAAATTAGCCGACCGAAAGTCACAAAAATGGCATTTTCGTAGGTTTCCCGAGGGATAAACCCACAAATTATACATGAAAATTATAAAGAAATTGAATATCTATAATTTCGTGAAAAAACGGTGATCCTACGACATAGCGTACATCAGCTAAATACTAAAAACCCCAAAATTAACCGACTGAAAAACACAAAAAGGGCATTTCTGCAGGTTTCCCGAGGGATAAACTCACAAACTATACCTGAAATTTATAAAGAATTTGAATATCTATAATATGGTGAAAGAACGGTTATCCTACGACGTGGCGTTCGCCCGCTAAACACTAAAAACCACAAAATTAGCCGACCGAAAAACACAAAAAGGGCATTTTTGTAGGTTTCCCGATGGTTAAACCCACAAGTTATATATGAAAATTATAAAGAATTTTAATATCTATAATTTGTTAAAAGAATGGTTGTCCTACGATATCGCGTTCGCCCGCTAAACACTGAAACCCATAAAACTAGCCGACCGAAAGACACAAACATGGCATTTTCCAAGGTTTTACGAGGGATAAACCCACAAATTATACATGAAAATTATAAAGAATTTGAATGTCTATAATTTGGTGAAAGAACGGTTATCTTACGGTATAGCGTTCGCCCGATAAACACTAAAAATAACAAAATTTGCCGACCTAAAACAAACACAAAAGGGCATTTTCGTAGGTTTCCCGAAGGATAAATTACAGACGAAAATTATAAAGAATTTGAATATATATAATTTGGTGAAAGAACGGTTATCCTACGACATGGCGTTCACCAGCTAAATACTAAAAACCACAAAATTAGCCGACAGAAAAACACAGAAAGGGCATTTTTGTAGGTTTCCAAAGGGTTAAACCCACAAGTTATACATGAAAATTATAAAGAATTTGAATATTTATAATTTGGTGAAAGAACGGTTGTCCTACGACATGGCGTTCGCCCGCTAAACACTCAAAGCCACAAAATTAGCCGACCAAAAGATTAATATCGCTTAAACTAAAAGCGATAGCAACCCACGAATTGCTGATTATGAAAAATTGGAAAATTACCTATCAGATAAAAGTATAAAACAATAATATTTCCAATAGTAAAAGGTCGAAAAACGCGACTAAAAGTACTAAAAAGTGACATTTATCAATTTTTGCCCATTTTATTCAATCGCGAATATCTCGTAAACTAAAAGAGATAAATAGGATCTGATCGCAGCGTCTTAATCTACGGACTATTCTCTATCAGATAGGATAGTTAAAAGGGAAATCTGAGAGATGAAATTTTCATTCTTAAGAAAAAATTGCCAAGAGGGGTGCTTGATACTTTTTTTCGACGTTTTTCAAAAATTAATATCTCTTAAACTAAAAGTGATAGCTACCAACTAATTGTTGATTATGAAAGATTGGAAAATTCTCTATCAGATAAAAATATAAAATAATTATATTTCCTACAGTAAAAGGTCAAAAAACGCGACTAAAAGTGCTTAAAAGTGACATTTATCAATTTTTGCTCATTTTATTCCATCGCGAATATCTCGTAAACTAAAAGAGATAAATAGGATCTGATCGCAGCGTCTTAATCTACGGACTATTCTCTATCAGATAGGATAGTTAAAAGGGAAATCTGAGAGATGAAATTTTCATTCTTAAGAAAAAATTGCCAACTATTTTCAAAAATTAATATCTCTTAAACTAAAAGAGATAGCTACCAACTAATCGTTTATTATGAAAGATTGGAAAATTCTCTATCAGATATAAATATAAAATAATAATATTTCTAATAGTAAAAGGACAAAAAACGTGACTAAAAGTGTTAAAAAGTGACATTTTTCAATTTTTGCCCAATTTTTTCAATTGCGAATATTTCGTAAACTAAAAGAGATAATAGGACACTGAAACAGAGAAAAACACGAGTGTTAGATCACGAACTGTACTGCGCACTTATTAAGTTCTTCCGTCGGATAGAGTCTTGTATTACAAACAATTCTTTAACCGACTAACGCAAGCAAGTCGATAAGTATGTCCACAATTAACAATATACTGCATTTCATAGAATTGAAATGAAAGAAAGGAGACAAGCCGCGTGCAAATAAGAACAGACTGAAACGTTCGAAGTACGAGCGAAGCATGAAACTGCTTCAAAGAGATAACAAAGTTGTTTATACACAAACCCGATAACCGCGTAGAGTTGAACAAGAAGTAATATTACTATATAAGAAATACAATTTAGGAATCGTAAGACAACTGGCTAAGAAGAAATAATAGAAATTGAATTTAACATTTGAATAAATAATGCAAGTGTTATAAATAATTTAATTCAAACATTACCTGTATAAACTGAGTGGATTATTAACTCTGATAGGCAGTAAAGTCACATCGAGTTACTCGTAGACCGACGGCCAACTACATTTCACTAACACAAACTCTAGAACTACATGTAAATCGCATTTTAATATAATGCTGTTTACCAATAAAAAAAATAACAGGAAAAGTGCAGTCACAAAACACGCGTGTGAATCAGTTGACAACCGGTTAAAAACTGTTTGTAGTGCGTTGAATAAGAAATCTTGAACGCAGCGCAGCGACAGCGGATAAGATAAGACTATCCGCAGGTAAATGTTTCGCTCGTCGAACGCAATAAAAGTTGTTTATAAACAAACAAAAGAAATGACGACTAACGCAACGCTGTACACGTTGCGACGAGACACGATAACTATTTAAGATAGGATAGGTTGTTATCAAATTCGCACATTGTTGGAATGCATTTGCGTTCCGTTGGAATTTAATTTCGTAGGAAATATATGTTTTAAGTTAGTGCCTCCATTCATAGATGGCAGCTCGAATATCAAATAATAAATTTTATTTCACAATTACGACATCAAATAACTCATTCGTTACGTACCTGTAACGTGAGAAAGGAACTAATTCTTACTTCCCAGTCAACAACTGTAAAAATTTAAGGAAAATCTGAATAAAAAGAACATCTATTAAATTGAAAGTATAGATTCTTATTTTTTACAACATATGTTCACACGATTCTCATTTTTTATTTTATCTTCTTAAAAAACAACTAAACAGATAATGGTTAATTTATTTACCACCTTAATTAAGCGCAAACAACATATTTAATTAATCGTCAACGGTATTGAAAAACACTACATTAACGTAGGGCATTGTTATTCGCAAACATGCGACGCGTCGTCCTTAAAAATTAAAAGCTACTAATATCAATTTATACTTTCACGAATTATCACAGTTCAGTTTATCACTATGACCATTTCCACTAACATTCGCCATCCCATCGTCTCACTCACGCATGTGTAACGCAATGCGAATAGCAAATTGTTTAAATTCCGAAAGTTTGCTGTCTTCAAATGATTTAAATTATAAGTTAAGTTATTGATTGCATTAGAGAAAGCAATTCGATTAGTATAAGTTGGTATGGTCCACGCCGCTCAAAATAGGGGCTGCGGTGACGGCCTCTTCATTTCCGTGCGAATGTTCTCCGCCATGGCTGTGTTCATGTCCAGCTGCAAAACAAGCAAACATGTTATCATCACATTGGAATTATTTGCATCTTCAGTAGTATTTGTATTGAAATCAGTGCGATTCATTTGTTTATGAGCTATAAGACTTTACAGAATGATTGTTGTAATCTTCAAGTCAACATGATAATTATATACATGGTCAGGTCATAGAACCTTCAATAAACTTTAACTCAGTGCACACAATTGATCACCAAACACTAATAATTTTGATGATGTGTGTGTGTTTTTTTTTCTGAGAATAAAAAGAGAGTTGGTATAGAAACGTCTTTTATTGCGTCAATTTAAATTTAAAGGAAATCCCGTTGCAACAGTTGCGCAAAATTTGCAGCATCCGAGCAGATTTGTGATTGAAACTGTTTAGCGCGTTTAGAAAGTAGGGTAGCAGCGGTTGTAGGTTGACACGATGGCCGCGGGACACACCAGAAGAGACCCAACGGCAGCGAGTCGTCGGCAAGGTGCGTCGACATCCCGTAGAAAGCAAAAGTTGTTCGTGAAGGCCACGCCGGGTCAATAACTGTATAAACGTTCAACATTCGGCCCGATACGAAACGCGCGCCGGTCACAATTTTGTTTAAACATAGATTCGTATGCAGACATTCCGCGACGCGTCGAGATTCACAACTCGCCGCAGAGTAGAAAAGAAGCGACGCGGTAGCATACAACTTGTTGAAAGTTTGACAGATCGGATATGGAGATAAGTTTTTGAACGACATTGATCTGCATATCTCTCAGTTGTGTGCAGAATAAAATTGCACGTTATAATTGAATACGTGCATGCATTAAATTTACTTTCGGACCCACTCGACGATGACTTCTTGATTGCTTGATTTCTTGATTATTTGCATGGTCGAAGAACTTTCTTCAGTTTTTTTTCCTTCAATTCCTGTTTCGCATTTAGTTATTTTTGCTTTGCGTTTATTTCGCGCTCGTGCATATCTACAACAGTGGCAATGTTTATTCGCTTGGTCAATGTTGTGCTTTCACAACGTGTTTTTACACCGCATTTTCAACTCAGTAATGCAGCGCTTCCTTATTAATCTTACAGAGTACAGACAATTGCGATAATGCGCCTCCAACGGGGCCACATTATCATTATCTGAAAATACGCGCGAGTTCTCAATTCGGACGTTCTCATAATTGTTACTACACTATTCCGATTGCGTCGGCTCTTCAACGTAATAATTCATAAATAATACTCTGCGCAATGTGATTGAAGAGCTTTAAGAGTTTGAGTGCAAGACGTTGGTATGTGTTCCAGTTTCGAAAGTGATGAGCGCCGCACGACATGACACACGGCGCACCTCAATGAATGAAACACATAAATACATTACCAACTAGTCTAACAGTTTGACGCAAGCAAGATTACTGCCTCTTATAAGTAAAGATTACAGTTAAAATTTAAATTGCATGCATTCCAAGACTTTCTTTGTTCGTGTTATATTGTAACTCACTGATAATCTGCAAACAAAACATGACTGCAAACCCGACGATAATTGCTAGAAGTTGCCAAATTCCAGCATGGTTATTGCTTCTTTCCCTAGCCAAAACTTCGAAGAATACCACATATAAAAGTGTACCGGCGGCCATTCCCTGTAGCACGACTGATGTGACATCAATCTCTGATGTACCAGATTCGCTCAACGCAATCCCAGTGCCGATTCCTACGAGATCCAATTTATGTTATCTGATAATTTATGGATTTCAACTACTAACCTAATGGTGTGACAATCGCAAAGGTACCAATATAAATAAAAATCAACAACATCTTCGTTTTGGACGTGACCAGTTCCACGCCAACGCAAAAGGCAATCACCAACTTGTGCGTGGCGATGGCCGCAAACAGGTACCAAACTTTCTGCACACTGTTTTCCAGTCCGACAGCAAGACCCTCGAAGACGGCGTGAAAACTCAACGCCAATACGGCTAAAAGTCCTCGGAAAGAATTCTTGATATTCTCATCAATATGTGCATGGCTATGGCCATTATGATGATACTGAACCTCCATCTTTCCAACTTCCGGTTTGTTGCTACCGACATTACCTACTACGTCGTCCTTGTTTAGTGCAACTCGTGGAATGTGGACATTGTCCTTCTTACGCACTGAGAGGGTTCTGTGCAGTGCCTGATTTTCTAGACGTCGGTCCAACAATACGTGCACTAATTCCTCAATCAGATACACGAAAAGAAACCGCTACAGAAGACGATTTCTGATAGAGATATGCCATGTCCAATTATTGGAATTTTATTTGCTCCTTCCAATCGGGCAAAACTCTCTCTAACTTCCGGTTGGAGATGTAAAAATGTAGTGAATAATAGTACGCCACCACCGAAACAGAGGAACAATGAAATCAGTAGATTCTTGTCCTCGTTCGCGGACTTGATGTTGATGCGCTTTGCCAGTTTGATGGGCAACACTCCAACGAAGAAGGACGCCAAGCCGAGTACGGTCATCGCCAATATCTTGGCCACCAACAGATCGCTGCTCTCGGGCGCACCGTTTTCCGTACTGTTGTGTACTTCACTCATCTTTGCGAACTAACTCAATATCCGCGTTTGATGTCAGAGAACTGTTTCGCCAGCCAAGCACCGCTAACACACCGTCAAGATGGACCAGATTCTGCAGACTGAACAAACAGCTTCCAGATCCCGTGTTTTTCTCACCGGTACACTGTTGCGCGCGATTTTTGTCCGGATAATGAGCTGATGACTGTATTCACGCGCGCAGCATACTAAACATACACGGTAACGAAAAAACAAACTGAATACAGAAGATTTGGACGCATGGTAGCAGGACGAATTCGCAACTTTAGTGTTGGTGTGTTGTTATCAGATCGTAGCCGTGCAAAATTGCATCCAATGTGTTCACAAAGCACGTCCAGTTTGTCCTTGGCGAGGCTTAATCGACAATTGTTCTTAATGGAAAAAATCACAACATCAGTCTCAACTTCCTCAAGGCAAAAATTTGCGCACAAAATACACCATAAAGTTACAACAGTCTTAAATTGATCTGCTGCCACTGTACGCACTCTTGATTCGAAGAGAACGAAGAACACACTGACCGAATCAAGGCATGAGGGCACCGAGAAAGCGCTAGTCCACGCCGCGTATAGATATGGAGATGTTCGACGACTTCTTCGTACAGAACGCAGAGATGACTTTTGGTATTTATGCTACGAGTAGCGCGATGATGGCGAATAACAGTGATGTGTCAATCGGCGAAATTTTTAAACGTGCGCTGTTAGTTGTAATTGTTTCTTACAACTACGATATCGACCGGGAGCAGGTTCAACTGGAATCGCACGAAATACAAAAAAACTTTTACGAGTGATAAGTCACTCACGACTTGCGGCACTTGCGACACCAACACACCAACTCACCGCCGACAAGTGGCTACTGTGTATACCATGTGCGGCACAACGTTCACTGCGCGTATTATTGTTGTCATTATCAATTACTTTCTGTTTATTTATGATTGTTGTGTGATTGCATTGTTAGCGCTGCTCGACACATCAACACCAACTCGGGCAATTTAAACTCAAAATTGAAAAAAACTATTAAAAACTTTAACGAAATTAAATTTATATGTGCGTTCGCTTCGCATGAAACAAAAGAACTGCCGAGAATAAATATCGCGCCCGACAATATACTCACTATAATTATAATGAATAATGCAAAGACAATCTAAAACCTTCACAGTGGTGTCGAGTGAAAGAGTTAAAAGTTCAATTACGATTTACAAAGAATTACGGTGCATCTAAGTACTCTGGTACGCACGAACCGAACGTTATTCAATCACATTACGATTATATTCATGAGCAGCTTATGAGAAACCGATGATATTAAAAGAATAAACAATGCTTGTCAGTTTATCTGTTTGTGTTTAATTCATGGCTGGATTGTTAACGACAATATTGTATATTTTATACGCGGCCAAGACAGTAATATAAATCACAAGCACGGAGAATGTGCTGGTA